CCTGAGGTGAAACCGAGACCCTGAGGTGAAACCGAGACCCTGAGGTGTGCTTCAGTGGCAGTGTTTTGGTGGAAACCTTCAATATCCATGTGACCAGTTATGATGGCCGGGGGCCCCGGTTAGTGGGCGACCCGTGCGGGGCGCCCGAACGGGTGTCGGGGAAGGGCCGATGCCGATGCCATGAGAGGGATCACGTCCAGCCAAACGGTTGAACAGGTCGTTGGTTGGATGGGAGTATTTTTTTGGGGGGGGCCCAAGCCGGAGCAGGTTTCTCCGGCACCTTTGGCCCGGAAAAGCTGGTCGAATTGGGACTACCCCGAATTCGGGGCACCGAGACAAACCGCCCTGAGCCCAGCGAGCAAGCTGGCCCGGGCAGCGGTTTCCTTGTAGCTCTATGGCCTTCGGGCGAATGTCAGTGACACACCAGCGATCTAACGCGCACAAAAAAAGGAAGCAGTTTTGGGTGAGCATTATTCATCATAGAATTCATAAAATCAATAGAACAACTCCGGAAGCTGTTCCTTTTTCTCTTCCCCAGCGACCACCCTCCAACTAACCACATCCGCTACATCAGTGACCACCACCATCCGCCCACGCTCCGTACCACGTGCTTCTCTGAAGCGCACCGCTTCGCAGGCCAGATTGGCACGGTGAACCTCCAGGCGCGGTCGTCGCCGGAGAGTAGAGGAAGGTACGGACGTCGAGTTACGAACGCAGTACTTTCGAGGGTTGTTTTGAGTAGGTTTGCTCACCGGCATGTTTCCCAAGAGCGGCAGATGACATCAAGTGAATGACTCGGTACGAAGATGGTGGTTTCGTGTTGTTTTGTAAATCCTTGTTCCAACTCGTAGGTGATAACAGAGGGTGGCGTTGTTGAGTGAATTTGGAACTGATCACAGGCTACTCCAAGTTGAGCACCCTTACTCAGGTAGAGGTAGGCTACCTGGCACTCTGAAGGCCAGGACTCCCCCCTCCAACAAGAATGGAGGTGGACAATCCACTGTTTGTAGAGGAGCATAGAGGAACATCATCTTTCCAGGGGTCATTTTCCTTCATTTTCCACTTCCACGCATGGACGACGGGAGTGTCATTACTGGTTTCCCATCTCGCAGGGATGACATGACAGGCTGCCGGATTAACAGCAGCACAGTGTGATGGTGCAGAGTTCGAGAATCAGGCGCGGCCAGGATGCTATCGACATGCAGAGTTCGACCCGAGTGGGCCCACGTCAGGGTTATTCAGGGTTGGATGGAAGAAAAGAAGAAGAGCCTCTACACATCATCAGCGCATGTTCATCATCGCGAGCCTCTCCACTCTTGCGCGTGCATCATCGCTAAACAATAGCGCATGTGGTGCCAAGACACATGCCAGAGCAACCCAAAACCTCACCTGAACAAACTCGGAAGTCCCCGCAGTGTTCGGCGCCCCGAGCTCGCGGGCGCGACGTCGTTGCCGCCGCTTCGGCGCTGCGCCTCGGGTGAAGCCTTCAGGGCAATGTCATCACCATCGAGAATGACCATGGCTGCCGCGGTTCCCAGGATGGCCGAGTCGTTGGACCGAGTGCTCACCGAAAGAGCAAGAGGGAACGGTTCTAACCCACGAAGCCGAAGGCAAACACGTACTCAAAAACAAACAAGCCAGACCCCAGAGTTCAACGACAACTCTTCGCTGCGCATTCGGGACAAAAATGGGTTCATCCAAATAAGGAAGGCCAACCGAAGGTGGTCCGGCCAACATGGCGTTGCTGACAGGCACAGGACTGATAGTCATTTTACAGGACTTATGTTTTTACATGACTCGTTTCTCCGGAAGGCATGAATGAAGGGGATGCGAAGGGGATGTGGAGGGTTCAAGTCCCTTCGGAGGATGTTGCTATCTATAGTCTGTAGATTCATGTCATGGGGCAGCTTCGTGCTACCGTGCAGATCACGCCATGAACATGGGTTTGTGTGCAGAGGCGGGTGAGAAGCCTAGAGCCCTGCTACCTGCACGATATGCAAGGAAGGTTTTCTTTTGCCAGCTGCTAAGCTCAACTTTTCTCATTTTCCCTTCGACTTAGAGTGACGCCAAAATTGATAGAACCGTTTTCATCCCTGCATGCACGTGCATTGGACACCCTCAAGCCATATCTAGTCAGGAAGCTCTGTATGGAGTACTGTTAGGAACCTCTGTCTGGCGTGGCCTCAGCAAGGTGGCCTCAGCAAGTATGACTACTCTGTGAGGTATTGTCCGGATCAGGTGCGCTGCAGGGCCGCGCCGGTCGACGGTTTTGGATCCATTTCACACCGTGGACGGTACCCCTCAGTTGGTACCCCTCAGATGGCTGTGGACCTTGGAACCTGGGAGAGGTGACCGGAGGGACAGATCTTCCGAGATGGATCAGGGGTGTGCCATGGCAGGTGTCCATGGCCGGAGGGTTCCGTGCCCCACCCAAAGAAAAGCCTGATCGGCTGGCTTGTAGAGAAGAGCACCCTGTAGAGACATCCAGGGTTATCTCAGATTCAACCTGACAGTGTTACTTAGGTATCTTATTGCTCAAAAATTGCCCTTTGGTCAAGCCAGAGGGCCTAGGTAGGTGCATCTATATAATGAAAACGGGTTTTCGCATCCTTTGAATCTGCGGGAGC